CTCATGGCAAAAGGGGAGAAGGTACATGTTACACCCAATCCCTCTAGTGATGAGTATGATAGTTGTGATGATAACATAGAAGAAATTGAGGCAACCATGATAAAGAAATTTGGTAAAAAGGCCTTTACTAAAATAAAAATACTAATGAAAAAATTAGAGAAGAGGGATAGATGCTTAGAGTTGCAAAGAGAAATAATTACTCAAGAGAGAGAGAAAAACCTTGCACTTGAAGCATCTATCGCCGAAGAAAAGATGAAGGTTGAGAAGTTAACCGTAGAATTATCTTTAGTAAATGACTCAATTGGGAAATTGACTAAGGAACATTCCTCGGTTGATGATCAAGTAGCTAGCCTCAAGAATGAGAAGAGTATAGCTCAAGAAAGCCTCACACGCTTGGAAGAAAAATACTGAAATCTTGAGCTAAACTATAGTACTCTTTGGGCTAGCACTTCAACTTCTCTTAAGGCAACCGAAGACTCTAATGTCTCCACTAGTAATGGTTGTGAAAGATGCTATAAAATTGATGTGAATGCATATACAACTAACCTTGTTGAGTTAGAGAAGAAAGACAAGGAGATTCATAGATTGAAGATGGTCTTGAAGAATGGGTGCAAGTGTCAAGAGCAATCCAACAAGACTATATACAAGTCATCAAGGCACCCATCAATCAAGGAAAGCATTGGCTACAATAGGTATGATGGAAAGGCAAATGGAAGGAACATGATCAATGGTGTGCCTTGTGTGAAGTTCAACAAGGGCGTTGCTCTTGATGAGCTTATATGCATGGCCAACAACAAGGTCTACATTCCAAAGATCCAACCTACAAGTGATAAGATAATCAAAACTAAGCAATCCGAGGCCCCCAAGCCACAAGCACCACTTTCACGGTGCTATGCTAGTGACTATATGTGTTGTTGGGGCAAGGATGGCAAGATTGTGGTTAAGTATGTTGGTGCCCAAAAGAGAAAGGAAATTATGAGGAGTGTTTGGGTGCCCAAGTTTTATGTGACTAACCCCCTAGGACCCAAATCGTTTTGGGTACCTAAAACAAAAGCTTAATTTGTTTTTGTAGGAATATTCCTCCGGTGGAACAAGTTAGGTGTTGGATAGTGGATGCACCAATCATATGACCGGAGAGAAGGACATGTTCACATAATTCCAACCAAGTCTTGATCAAAGTGGAAATATTGTGTTTGGTGACAATGGAAAAGGAGAAGTCCTCGGTTTGGGTAAAATTGCTATATCAAATGATAATTCCATTTCAAATATTTTACTTGTGAATTCGTTGAGTTACAATTTGTTGTCCGTCTCACAACTTTATGAGATGGGTTACAATTGTCTCTTTACGGATAAGGGTGTGGAAGTCTATAGAAGGGAGGATTCCTCTATTGCATTTATGGGTCATTTAAAAGGAAAACTCTGTCTAGTTGATTTCACATCAAATAGAGTAAATCTCGAGACTTGTTTAATGGAAAAATCTAGCTTGGGTTGGTTATGGCATCGCCGACTTGCCCATGTTGGGATGAGGAACTTGGCCAAAGTTCAAAAAGGTGAACACATCCTAGGACTAACAAATGTTTCTTTTGAGAAAGATAGGATTTGTAGCACATGCCAAGCGGGAAAACAAGTTAGAGCTAAACATCCTGTCAAGAATGTTGTGACAACCGAAAGGCCATTGAAGTTGCTTCATATGGACATATTTGGACTCGTCGCTTATATAAGCATTGGTGGTAACAAATATGGTTTCGTAATTGTTGATGATTATTCTCGTTTCACTTGGGTATTTTTTTTGCGTGAAAAGAGTGAAGTCCAAGGTATCTTCAAGAAGTTTGCAAGAAGAGCCCAAAATAGTTTGATGTCAAAATCAAGAGAGTTAGAAGTGACAATGGGACGGAGTTCAAGAACACCAACATTGAAGAGTTTCTTGATGAAGAAGGAATCAAGCATGAGTTTTTGGTTCCATACACTCCACAATAAAATAGTGTTGTGGAGAGAAAGAACTGAACGCTCATAGAAGCCGCAAGAGCAATGTTGGATGAGTACAAGACTCCAACCAACTATTGGGCGGAAACGGTCAACACGGCATGCCATGCTATCAACCGCTTATATCTTCACAAGAAAAGAGAAAAGACCGCCTACGAACTTCTAACCGGTAAAAAGCCTAAGGTGCACTACTTTAGTGTTTTTGGATCCAAATGTTTCATACTTAACAAGAAATCCAAAAGCTCTAAGTTTGCACCAAAAGTTGATAAAGGTTTCATGCTTGGTTATGGTACTAACGAACATGGATACCGTGTTTTCAATAAAACCACCGGTTTGATTGAAATCGCGGTAGACGTGACTTTTGATGAAACCGCCGACTCTCAAAAAGAGCAAGCCAATGTTGAAATTGTAGGTAATGAAGAAGCTACACACAAAGCAATCAAGAAGCTTATCATTGGTGAAGTAAAGCCCATCGAAGACAAAGATGAAGACCATGTTGTGCATGATGATCTTGATCCAATCATTCATCATGTTTCATCCAATGAACATGGTGAAGCTTCCGCAACAAGAAATAATCAAGACGGGAGATCAAATAAAGCACAAGGTCATTCTCATGAAGATGGTGTCAACAATGAGCAAGCTCAACCTCAACTCAACAATGAAGAAAGAAGTGAAGTCAACCCTCCACAAGCTCATGATTGTGATCCTCTAATCGATCATGACCATGATGATGATGATGATGGCCCTATCCAAAGATCAACTCAAGTGCCACATCCTAGAATGCATCAATCCATTCAACGGGATCATCCCATTGATAACATATTGGGGAGCATTCGACGAGGGGTAACTACACGTTCCGTTTAGCAAGTTTTTGTGAATATTACTCGTTTGTTTCTCCTTTGGAACCTCGTAGGATGGAAGAGGCACTTGATGATCCGGATTAGATGATAGCCATATAAGAGGAGTTGAACAACTTCACTCGGAATGAAGTCTGATCCTTGGTGGAAAGGCCCAAGCAAAATATGATTGGAACCAAGTGGGTCTTCCGCAACAAGCAAGATGAGCATGGCATGGTAACAAGGAACAAGGCAACGTTGGTGGCTCAAGGATTCACTTAGATTAAAGGCTTGGATTTTGGGGAGACCTATGCACCGGTGGCTTGGCTGGAATCAATTCGCATTCTACTTGCTTATGCCGCCCATCATGACTTCAAGCTTTATCAAATGGATATGAAGAGTGCATTTCTCAATGGCCCTCTATTTGAGTTGGTGTATGTAGAGCAACCACCGGGCTTTGAAGACCCCAAGTATTCAAACCATATCTACAAGCTCGACAAGGCGCTCTATGGGCTTAAACAAGCCCCTAGAGCTTGGTATGATTGCTTAAAGGATTTCCTACTCAAACAAGGTTTTGAGATAGGAAAGGCCGATGCTACTTTGTTTACTCGCAAAGTCAATAATGATATCTTTGTTTGCCAAATATATGTCGATGACATAATATTTGGTAGTACTAATATGGCTTTTTGTGAGGAATTTAGTAGGATAATGATAAATAGGTTAGAGATGTCCATGATGGGAGAGTTGAAGTTCTTCCTTGGATTTCAAATCAAGCAACTCAAGAATGGCACGTTCATAAGTCAAACCAAGTACACCAACGACATGTTAAAAAAGTTTAACTTGGACAAGGCCAAGTCCATCAAGACACCAATGCCAACCAATGGACATCTTGATCTTGATCAAGGAGAAAAGGACGTCGATCAAAAGGTATATCGCTCCATGATTGGATCACTTCTTTACCTTTATGCATCTAGGCCCGATATTATGCTTAGCGTGTGCATGTGTGTAAGATTTCAAGCTAATCTGAAAGAATGTCATTTGATGTCCGTTAAGAGAATTTTTTGGTATTTAGTGCACACTCCTAATCTTGGTTTGTGGTATCCTAAGAGCTCCACTTTTAAGTTACTTGGATATTCTCATTTGGATTATGCCGGTTGCAAAGTAACCCGAAAGAGTACTACCGGGACTTACCAATTTATTGGTCGATCCTTGGTGTCTTGGAGTTCTAAGAAGCAAAATTCCGTTGCTTTGTCCACCGCCGAAGCCGAGTATGTGGCGGCCAGTGCTTGCTGTGCCAATCTACTTTGGATGAAGCAAACCTTAAAGGACTTTAGATGTGAGTTAACCAAGATTTCACTTTTGTGTGACAACGATAGTGCCATTAAGTTGGCAAACAACCCTGTAAACCACTCTCGAACAAAGCACATAGACATCCGGCATCATTTTTTGAGAGACCACGAAGGCAAAGGAGATATCGCCATTCATCATGTGAGCCCCGAAAAGCAATTAGCCGATATCTTCACAAAGCCCCTAGATAAGTCAAGATTTTGTGTTTTGAGTAGTGAACTAAATATCATTGATTCTCGTAACGTGGCTTGATCCCTTGCACACATATTTTGTTTGATCTAATTGGGAGAAAAGAATTAAGAAAACATTGTGTGACACTTTCAAAATCTATTTTATAATTTTCATGAGTGACTATTGCTTTGTGCTGGTTGAATGAAATCTAGTCACCTATGAAAATGTTAGTGTCCATCATATTTTTGTCCCATATGGTAGAGTGTGTGTAGGTTGAGGTGTTTTTCAGTTTCCCTGCGTTGGAAGTCCCGACGTACGCCGGGAGTCCCGACGCAGATATGAGTTTTTTGACCGCGCCGCTTCGTTTCACCTTTTACTGCGGTTACTCTCTCCATCCCCGCACTAGCCATTGTCCTTGGGAATTATATGAAAATTCGTTTTACTAGGAACATGCCATTAATGTTATCTCAATGTAGCAGTTTCCTTGTAGTTCAAAATAGCTCTATCTTATATAGCGTTTTTCCCCCTGTAGTTCAAGGTATGTTTTCTGGCTTAAAAAGTTAGAACAGTGAAGCACATTTCTCAAACATGTAATTCGGTGTCTCTATTTTACCGGATTCCAATGTTAATCAAACTAGAAGTCCAACTCGTTCTTTGGGTATCATGGGTAGATCAATGGGGGAAGGCTATAGCCTTAAAACATCAACAGAACTATTGAAGGTTCTAAATCGAATTTGGAGCCTTGAAGAACAGCACACTGCTAACTTGTCAGTGGTTAATGGATTGAAACTTGAGTTACAGCAGGCTCAGACACATGTCCAAGAACTCATGCAAGAGAGACGGAGGTACAGACACGAAGTTTCGTCATTAATGAGGCAACTCTCCGAGAACAAACTTGTTAGAAAAAACAAGGACCACGTGAAGGTTGACGCAGCTCTGCATTCCCTGCATGGTGAACTAGAGGATGAGAAACGTCTGAGGAGGCATTCTGAGGACCTCCACAGGAAGTTAGGCATGGAGTTGTCTGAAATAAAGTCAGCGTTTCTCAAGTCAGTCAAGGACCTTGAGAAGGAGAAGAAAGGAAATCGCCTCTTAGAAGACCTCTGTGACCAGTTCGCAATGGGCATCAGGAACTATGAAAAGGAACTCAGAGTGGTAAAGCAAAGAAATGTCAAGAGTTATGAGCTCAACTTTGATAATTCAGTGCTCCATATTTCAGAAGTATGGCTTGATGAGCGAATGCAAATGCAAAATACTGATATCAATGGGGAATTAGCTCATAAAACCACAATAACAGAAAGGCTCAGCAGTGAAATACAGGCCTTTCTTCTTTCTAAAAAAGCAGGTAGCTCTATGAATAATGAAAAACATATGAATGATAGTACTAGATTGCGACGTCAATCCCTTGAGTCTGTCCATTTGAATGGGGCCACCAGTGCTCCTCAGTTTGCTGAAGATGATGACGACTCTATTGCTAGTGATTTGAATTGCTTTGAACTGAACAGTAGCAGCAAACTGCAGCATGCCAGTAAAATACCAGAGATCAACTCACAAAGCAATGGCAAATTACTTAAGCGGAAGTGCAGAATGGAAGCACAGGCAACCAAATTATTCGAGGATCCAACAATGGGTCAACGAAGAACAACCCAGATGTGCATCATGTTGATTTCCTGGGGCAGGAATCATTTGATCATTTCTCCCGAACAAGTCTATTTTGTGAAGGCACTACTTCAGGGGATTTGGGTAATGTCGGCAGCCCAACGCGGCAACTGAAATACCAATCCACATCTTTGGACCCTGAGATAACGGAATGCTCACCTGAACAGCCAGTAGGTGTGATGGAGAACACCCTGAAGGCAAAATTACTTCAAGCAAGGCTGGAGGGTCGAAATGCCCGGTTAAAGGCGTCAGGTGGCTCCTCAACCAGCCGGAGAAAGTGAGAGTGCTGCAGATTCTGGGGTTTGACTGTTTGAGGCCCACACGGAGAAATCGAAGGTGTAATATAGCTAACTTGTAACTATGGAATTTCCTTTGGCCGTGTCAATTTTTTCAGTATCCGTGTACATGGGTTATGAGCTATCTGAATCTGAATATATGAATCCTAGTTCCATATGTGAATCATCTTCCATGTCAATTAGGCTGTTAGTTAGATGCCAGCACACTTTAGGCTGATAGCTCAAGACTCAGAAGGATTTTGGTTATGACACCTTGTGTCTTGTGTCTTGTTATCTCCCTGATACTTTGCTTAGAAGTCTTTTGATGTACTACATTTGAACAGCCAACTTTTCAGATTTCTCAATAGTTTCTATGAGTGAGTATGAGCAAACATGGTACATGTACATGGCGCATGGGCACCTTAAAATTTTTGTGGTTGACAGTACAATATCCGTGACACCTCCAAATTGTGTTATTTCTTTTCTTTTTATATCTTAGTTGTTAGGGGTTAACTGGTGGTGCAGCCACTGCCTGGCTACCCAGGGCAGCTGCCCACGCTCGCCATCGGTAGGCCAGGTCCATCTGGGCGGCAAACTTTACAGCTGCTTATTAGGAGCGACTGAGCGATTACGTGAAGTCTTTCCTTAGACTTGCTCAGGCTCTACAAATTTCTCTCAGCCACTGGGGTTACCACTTAGGACGTCTTTGGCAGGGCTCCTGCCCACCGACTCTGGCTCCGCGTGCTACTATGCGCTCCTGCACAACTCATAAACTAGCTCGGGATCTGCAGGGTACGATTCCGGATATCCACGACAGACTACATGGGTTGTGCTGTCAGGGATGGTCCAGTCCACAAGACGAAGAACTACGGTGCGCGGTACTGCTCGGCGTGTATCGCAAGACATCAAGGGCGATATTCTGAAGATGTTACGAGATCTCTTAGGATATGTTCGATCCCATGATTCATGTAATCTGTTATTACTTACCAATTATCTCCTAGATCTAACCGACTTGTAACTCTACCTCCGGCTATTAAGGCGGGTAGAGGACCCCCTCAAAACGCACGCAATATCATACGATAGCCAATACAGACCAACAGACCACATGAGTAGGGTATTACGTCGCGCAGACGGTCCGAACCTGTCTAACTCTTGTGTTTCTGTTGCCTTCTTGTTCTTGATTACGCGCACCTCTGCCTATCAATCTATCTTCGTGGGATACCCCTCGGAGGACTGTCGACCAGATTTTGTCGACAGTTGGCGCGCCAGGTAGAGGTGTGCGTGCTGTTTCCATGACAAACAAGATGGTATATTTTACAGGCTCTTCGTCCTTCCCAAAGCCCGGCCAGATTTTTACGGTCGGATCGATCTCCTGGATCATCAATGCTGACGGAGACGGAGAGATCATCGAGCCGGTACAGATCGATCCTGCACCAACCACACCAACACCTGCAACGGCAGATCCGATCTTGAACCGTCTCCGATGTCGTCTTCATCAACAACTCGCCGCCTGCTCCCCCACTACCCGAGGAAGTAGATCGGCAACGACGATCTGATCGCATCCATCGATCAGGTTGGCCAGAAGCTCACTGACTGCCTCTCCCTCGTGCAATCGTCTCTGACCACTCTGGTTCAGCGCCGACCACCCTCTAATTCCGATCTATCGGAGGCCGATCAGGAAACTCCAGGGGTTACGGCCACCATCCATCAGGAGGCCTTAAGGGACAAATTCGCCGACCAGATGGGAGACATCTATCCTCTTGCCAACCCGATCGCTCACCAGCTCTCGCCGACTGTCAATATGTTGCAAATCGGACGACGTCCCGAAGCATCCCTCCACACCATCCTGGAGGAAAATCCATACTTTGAGTCTCAGGGCTTTATGGAGACTGTCGTCGAAACCGCCGTCGTCCAACCTCCTTTCCCACCCTTCCGTGGAGGTGGGATTTTTAATGTCAGCATCGACATCCCTCCGCGGGATGGAGAAACCTATGAAGACCGCGCAGCTCGTGTCAACATAAACGCCAACCATGCGCAGCGCTGAGCGAATGAGGCCGCCATTGTGCTAACCGAGGCTGCTCACAACGGAGAACAGCACGACTCGCAAGGGAGGCCACGCCCACTCCACCGTAATCTCGAGGATGAATTTGTCCGTGTCGACGACCATGATGTCTACAAGACCCCAAGCGCTAACTTGGCCGTGGCCGCTAATGAACTCGCTCGGCTTGAGCAAACGCCAGAGGTCACCAAGGCCGCTGTAATGCTTAAAGCTGTGCACTGTCTGGTCAACGAGATCCGCCAGGATCAGAGACCTTCTTACTCGACAAGCTCGAATCGCCGATCCACCGTGCCAAGATCCAATCGCCGCCCCGGCAGAAGCCGTTTCGTCGATCAGCATCGTGATGATAGACAACCCCTCTAGGGGGGAGCTAGGGGGAACCGTATCAACTACCCTCGCCAACACGACCAAGAAGTCGATCAAGATGTCCGAGCACACATCAACAACCTCTGGGATGCACGACGTCATATCGATGGGCGCTGTTTCTCTTGGCATGAGGAGAAAGTATGCCGGCGTCAAGAATACGGGCAAGAGTTCGGTAATCCAGATGCAGCCCTCCAGCCACTTAACGCTGGCAATGCTGCCGATCCCGACGGTGACGATCCCGAAGGGCCCCGAGCATTCATGAGAGCACTACGAACACTCCAGTGGCCCCGTGATTTCAAAATCACCGGGGTCGAGCCCTATGAGTGGCCTTTCTAAATTTAATCGCATCAGCTAACCAAGACAAATGCGGAATTAAAACAATCGGTCTAGCCAAGACTACACCCCTCTATCAAAGTTCACAAGCACCTTATAAAGATCCTAATTAGGCAACAAAGGTGTCGGGCTAGCTAGAGCTCACCTAACTAATTCTAGAAGCAAGGTCACACAAACCTATGCCACTAGTACTTCAAGCAACGAGGGAGCTCCTACACATGTTAGTAAGCAAAAGCACAAAGCCACCTAAGCTCACCAGCAATGCTCAATAACAAGGCTACACAAGCCAAATTATAAAGTGCAAATTTCTTAGCTACACAAACTAAGCAATGTGACTAACAAGGTTACTCAAACCGAATTAGTCACGCAAGGGAGCTACTTCTATGCTACATAAGCAAGAAGGTAACTAGCAAGCTACGCAAGCTAATTAATTACAAGAGCAACTACACAAGCACAATGTAAATGAAGTAAATACAAGCTTGTGTAACGAGGATGCAAACCAACAGGAATACAAGGATGGCATGATGATTTTTATTCCGAGGTTCACGTGCTTGCCAACACGCTAGTCCCCGTTGAGACAAGCTCCAAGGTTGCCATCGGTCCTCTTGCTAGTGGTGATCCGTAAGTCACATTCTCCCACATGGAGTGCTTACCACAAGCTCTAGCACTTGACCCGGCCAGATCACTTGTCGCCCTTCGTGTCTTGCTCTACTAGAGTTGCTCTTCGCGGCTCCCGTGGGGTGAGCACAATCCCCCTCATAATCACTTCTCTAGAGCACCGCACAATCTTCGTTGCATGCTTCAACAGAGACCACCACCAAGCCATCTAGGAGGTGGCAACCTCCAAGAGTAACAAGCACCACCGACTTGCAACTCGATCACCTAGTGCCACTCGATGCAATCTCATGATGCAATCGCACTAGAATTGCTCACTCACTCGATCGGATGAACACTATCAAGCTCAAGTGAGTTAGAGGGCTCCCAGCACACCTACACAAGCCACCAAGCCTCAAGGGTGCTTAGCTCTTGGCCAAAGGATGACCAACACTTCTGTTTATAGCCCCACGGGCTAAACTAGTCATTACCCCTTCACTGGGCAAATTTCGGGACGACCGGACGCATAGGTCGTGTGCACCGGACACGTCCGGTGTGGCGACCGAACACGTCCGATCACTGTGTCCGGTCACTGCTTGACCGCCACATGTCCTATTCCAACGAAGTAGTCGTTGTCGCCCAACGACCCTCTCTGACACGCTCTCACGCGATGCATCGGACGCACTACAGCGAAGTGATCGGACGCAGGAGGGGCAGCGTCCGGTCGAGTCCAAAGAGCTCCTAGAGCAGCTCAATTGTGACTGGACGCGTCCGGTGTGGCCAACCGGACATGCCCCTACGTCCGGTTCTCTCTAGACCAACACCTATGCCCCATGTCACCACGACGTGATGCTAAACAATGATTGCTCAGCGTCTGGTCACTGCTACAAGCCAGAGTTTAGTCACCTTGGCAACTCTGCTCGCGCCTGGCCAGAATACCGGATGTGTCCAGTATCGATATCAGACGCGTCTGATCACGTTAGGAATATTGTTGCCTAGGTCAGATACCAAACGCGTCCGGTACTCATGTCGGACGTGTCCGGTCACCTCGTGACCAGCGCATTCAACTCCTTTTCTTCACCAACTTCTTCTCCTTTGTAAATGTGCCAACACCACCAAGTGTACAACACCTTGTGCACGTGTGTTAGCTTGTCACAAACATTTTTCAAGGAGTTAACGACTCAACTTGCCGCGCCACTCGACCCTAGCAATGATGCAAAGTTAGATCACTCGAGTGGCACTGGATGACCGATATGCAAATAAGTTTGCCCCTCTTGATAGTACGGCCATCTATCCTAAACCCGGTCAAGCACTTCTCTACACAACCTATGACCAGTGAAATGAAATGCCCTAGGTTATACCTTTGCCTTGCGCATTCCATTCCAACTCCTCCATTGTTGATGCAACACATGCACCAACCAATCACCAAATGATATGATCCACTTTATATTATCACGTGACCGTATTGGTTCATCGATCTTGACCTC